CGTTAAATGTGTTTCTTATATACAGCATATGGATGGGTCTTGTTTCTTGATCCACTCTCCTTGTGTTTCTTTTTATTGCTGTCTGGAGGCCATCTGTATTAATGTTTACAGCCAGTACACATTGGTTTGTCTCTGCCCTGCCATTCTCCTGTTGTTGGCTCTCCACTTTTCCCTTTTATTCAATTGCCTGTCTTGTTTGGTGATCCTCCTCTGCTGCTGTTCCTGGAAACATGGTCATCTTTATCTCTCTCTAGAATATTCTTTAGCACTCTCTATAGGGTTGGTTTAGTAGTCATGAATTCCTTCAGTTGTTCTTTATCACGGAAGTGTCTTATTTTTCCATCAATTTTGAAGGATAGTTTTTCTGGGTAAATGAATCTGGGTTGGAAGTTGTTTTCTTTCAGGGTTTGAAACATTCACTCCCAACTCTTCTTGACTTGATGGTTTGTGTTGACAACTCTGATGTGATTCTGATTGGCTTTTCTTTATAGGTGATTTGACTGTTTTCTCTAACAGCTTTTAATATTCTGTTCTAGTGCTGAATTTCTGGGATCTTGATTATTATATGTCTGGGAATAGATTTACTTTGGTTATGGCTAGTTGGAGTCCTATATGCCTCACTTTATAGCTGGGTAGCTTTCCACTTCATGAAAATGCATGCCAGATCCATTTTCCATGTTTGGGAAGTTTTCTTCTATTACTTCTGTGAATATCTTTTAATTTCATTTGTGTTGACCCCTGCTTCTTCATTCATATGTCACTCTTAAATTACGTTTCTTTGCCTCTTCTTGCAGCCATTGAGTTTGTTATTTCCTGATTCCATGTTATTTTTAAGAGATCTTTCCTTTCATGATCACTAGCTGCAATCCTGTCTTCAAGGTTTGAAAGTCTATCTTCGAGCACCTCCCCTCCCTGGTAAGCGGAGGCAGGGTGGCAGACTGCAGCCCTTCCAGCGAGAGACCCAGCAGTGTCTTCTGAGATCCACGCCATGTTGGAACTGAGGACGCTGTGAAAACAAATGACCATTCTGCCTCCCTGCTTAGCAATAGTGAACCTACTGCTACATGGCCTAGAGTCAAATCTCCCACTTCCCCTACCCTCCTCCTTCTCCCCCCCCCCCGCCCATTAGCAAATGGGAACCAGAAATCTGAGCATCTCCTGAGAGGTTGACCATAGCAAATAAGGGGGACTTCCTTCCACCATTTCTTTGAAGGCAAATATTTTTATTACTGTTTTGCTCTTTTCTGATTAATGGTACTGCTCTATTCAATATTCTGTTTTGATAAGTTCTGTAGTGTTCTATATTTCATCTCATTTTGATATATGGGATTGAAAGAACAACTATTATAAAGATAACAAAATACACTGTGATACCTATTACTGTTATCCCGGTAACCTGCTGTGAAGTTCTGTACCAATTTCACTGTACGATCGTAGTTGGCTTTATTCTGACTTGTTCTGTTGTATACTTTCAAAATAAAAATTAAAAAAAAAAAAGAAAGTCTATCTTTAGTTTCTTTCAAGCAGTTTTGCCAGCTTTCCATTGAGTTTTTTAATTTCCTGCATCTCTCTTTGAATCTCTTTCATGCATTATAATTCCTTTCTACATTCATTCAAGGTTTCCATCATTTTCCTGTGCTCCTTTTTATTGTTTATGTCTTCTTTAGACCTGCTGAACAATTCTTTCAGTATGTTTTTGATTTCTTCTTTTACCTGAGACATCATTTCTTATTTGACTGCTTTTACAGTTTCATGAAGTTGTTTCCTTACTTCAGTTGCTATCCTCTCAGAGATTTCAGTTATATGATTTCGCTTTCTTCCTTAATCATATCTCCCAGACTTATTGTGTGGGCTAGAAGTCTGAGTTTGCCTTTTGCTCCTTTGTCTTGACATTCTTCTGAGTTCCTTCAAACAAGCTACTGTGGAGTCCCAGGTACTTCCCATGTTGGCTGCCCCTAAACAGTGTAGAGGGATGGGACAGACACCTGGGTTCCTCTAATTCCCAGACTTACGGGAAAGTAGTAGGCTATGGAGCGGGCTTCTCCAGAGCTACGCAGCTACACTAGGGCTTGGCTGAAGATCAGAGGTGCATGTAGGAAAGGGCCTTCTGGAGGCAGCGCCTGAGGAGCAGAGGCAGGCCTTCAGCATTCTCTTTTCAAGAGATTTTTTTTTTTTTTTTCACACAGTGAAGAGCTGTGCAGCAGCTTTCTGTTTTGATGTAGTTCCAGTTCATTATTTTTGTCTTGTTACCGGTGCCTTTGGTGTCATACCCTGATGTATGACCAAGACAAATGTCTGGAAACCCTTGCCCCCCCCATAGGTATTTTATAGATCCAAGTCTTAAATCTTTAATCAATTTTAGTTGATTTTTTAGTATGATATAAGAAGGTAAGGTTTCATTCCTTTCAGTTTCATTCCTTTCAGTGTGAACAACCAGATCCCCACACCACCTATTGAGGACATTTTTCCTATATTGTATATTTGTGGCATCCTTATCGAAGATCAGTTAGTGATATATGTGGGGACTGCTTTCTGGAATCCTGTTCTGTTGTGTCAGTCTTTGACTTTACGCTAGTGTCATACTGTTATGATTTGTAATACAGTTTGAAATTCAGTTTTGTCAGTTTGTTCAAGACTAATTTGACTACTTACGGGCTTTTGTGTGTCCATATGACTTTTAGGATTTTTTTCCTATTTTTGTAAAAGATGTTATAGAGATTTTTATAGGAATTACATTGAATCTGTAAAGCACTTTTGGTGCTACAAACATTTTAATAATATTAAATTTTACAATCCTTAAATACAAGGTAACTTTCTATTAGTATGTGTAATCTGTATTTCCTTCCTTCTGCTTCAAACTTCAAAAGTTCTTTTTCCTATATTTTGTAGTTTTAGTATATATGTCTTTTACCTCCCCTGTCATGCTAAAAAAATTGTCATGTACAAATCTTCGGTATGGCAGTAAGTAGCTACCTTAAAAGATATATGAGAATTTCTCTATCATAATCCCCAAAGCTTCGTATTTACTTTTATCTCCCTGTATAATCAAGCTATTATTCAAGTCCTGGGCTTAGGCTATCCTTCTGCCTCACCCTTCTGAATAGCTGGGACTACAGGCAGGTGCCTTGAGCCTTGCACAAGTCCAAGGTAATTTTGCCTGAGACAGCCAGTATTCTATCTCTTCATAACCACAGTGTTCTGTTTACTGAGGTTAAGGGGTCTGTGGGATCTTTAATACAGCCAAGGAGTCTTCAGAGAATTTCAGCTTCACAGTGTTTGGTGAGATGTGGGGAGAGGTTGGAACCTTTTCCAAGCGCAACCCTTCCAGGAACCTCATATGTTCAGCAGTGCTCAGGCACTCCTGACTGCAACTGTTTGTTTCTATGGAGACTTCCACTATGTAAAGGTGATTGCTTAAATCATTAACTATTAGGGATGAACTTGGCTCCCTGTCCTCTTTGGATTTTGGAGTGGAAGACTGGAGGACCTGAGAATTCCCGTCCTCTAATTACGTGATTTGTTCCTTGGCAACTAGGCCCAGTCTTGAAGCTTTCTAGGGATCTTCTCATCAGCATGTTAAAAGACTCCACTAAATTGGGCATTCCAAGGGTTCCAGGAGCTGCATACTGAGGAATTGAGATTACCAAATGTATTTCTTAGAATAAATCATATTATCACAGTGCCCAGTATTTGATCCATTTTGCTTTTTTTCACTTTTTTGAATCTTATAATCTACCTCCTCTCAATACTTTACCCATTTTCTGCATGTGATAGTTATTCTTTCAAATTGCACTTTAAACTAAATTCTGGTAGTTAGTAATCTTTTCCAGATAAAGATTAAAATCTCAGACTTTATTTCATGTTTCAATAAAGATATTCACTTCTCAGAGATACAGATCCTTTGTTATGCTAAATTATGTATCAGACTTTAGAAGTTCTGAGAAAAACGATCCTTAAAAAATACTCATATTCAGGAATATATGAACTTTAAATATAATTTTGAAATGTAATGCTGTGGATAGTGTATAGGTATATATTAAATTTTATCAAAAATGAAGGAGTGAAATAGTTGATTTTGCCTAAAAATGAGTAGACTGACCAGGGCATCAAAGAATGAATATAGGCAGAATGAGGATATTGCAAGCAAAGGAAATGCCATAGTGTGTTAAAAAAATATGAAGTCAATGAAATCGAGTTGAGAATGAAACAAGCACAGTAAAAAAAAATACCTGAATAATTACAGCATTTTAATAAATATGATCCATTGAGACAAGAAGACAATAAAGTCAAGGTAATCAGATAACAAGTAATTATATGTATGTGATGGGAAACGAACGTGTGTGGTCATAAAACCAACACTTCTGGATGGAAAAAAAATCACTTGCCTAAAAAAAAAAAAAAAAAAAAAAGCTTTTTTGCATAGAGAAGGCTACATCATATCTTATGTTGGGTTCCTTTATAAGCAAACCTTGAGAGAAAGGTTCCAAAGCATATCTTCTATTTAAGAGGTAATAGCAGGGAGCACAAGTAGGGGTTTGGGGAAATGAGACCAAGAAGAGAAGGCAACCAATAAAAGGCAGCAAGTTAGAACTGTAACTAAAACTTCATTCCACCAATGAACTCTGAAAGCTAGAGTGAAACTAGGCATCGCTTATTCCACTCTTGGAACAAGGAATTCAGTGATGTACAACACTTCCTTCAGTCACATCACACACTTCTATAGTAGGATGAGCATTAGTTCTATGACTTCAGCAAAGGAGATGAGCAACACACAGTCAGCTAGCCAGAGAAGGCTGTGAGACACAGGAGAGGGCAGGCAATCTGAAGTGAAACAGGTATTCATGAAAGTAAAGATGAGAAAGAAGGTCAGAGTTACGTTTTGTCCTCAGAAAGGGTAATCATGGTCAGGAATCTCACTTCATCTTTTCTGCTTATATGAGTTTTTATTCTTTATAGCTTTTAAATGTTCTAATCTTGAAATTTTTTTCCTCCTATTGCAGACTAACCAGCACTTTCTGAAAACAGTAACTGAGCAAAATGTGGAAATTGAGCGACTTCGAAAACAACTTAGGTATTTTCAAAATGAATTTTGTTAATTAGTAATTATTTTTCTTCAGGAAACAAATGATATCATAATTTTTCACATGGATAGTGTTCTTTTTATTGGGCTTCTATCAATAACTTTTTGTGGTTATGATCCTCCAGGACAGAAAGAGACTGAAATCAAAGTGATTAGTAAGAGGGTAACTTTTAACATGTAGAGAGATACATCAGGATGGTAAAATTGATAGTATGGCTGAAAATCAATTCTCTTAGAAAAAAAATTGTTTTAGATACAGAAATCTATTTCATATTTTTCTTTGGACTCCCAAGGAAACAAACCCTAAGAAAAAGGCTCTAAAACCCATTGTTTCTTTTAAGAGGTGAACTAAGGTACAAAAATAGGAAAGTGGGAGAAGAGAGACAGAGAAGGGAAAGAGAAGTCAACCAATATAGATCATTCCTGACTTGTGATGGGATTTCATTCCTATGGAACTGTCTTATCTTGAAAATACCTTAAATCAGAAATGCATGTACACTAATCTGTTGAAATAGCTCACGGAACTCAGGAAAGCATGTATTTATTATTGCAATATCATATACTAGATATCAATCAGTACCAACCAAAAGAAAAAGTCGATAAGCCGATGATGGCAATCCTTTTCAGAGGTGACGCTCAGACTGCACCCCAGCACCCACTCACTTACCGCAAAGTGCCAGCACTATGATTAAACCTGAATAGTGAGGTTTTAATTTAGAAAACAACTCATAGATTTACATGTTTTCTTTTAAACAAACAAACAAACAAACATGTCATGTGTTTGCCACCCTGCTCTAGGCTGATTTGGAGTTGGTGGGGCACCAATGCAGAGCTTTTGCATCCTCTGCTCATGGAATGGACTTGTGTCACTGTCCTCGCACATCAGTGTGTTTATCATCCAGGGCGCTCACTCAGGTCTCAGCATTCAGTTTTCACCGGGGTTTATTACATACATACCATTGATTAGACTATTCTACTGTCTGAATTAGATCTCCAGTCCCCTCACTTCCCTAGAGGACCTCGATCATGTGGCATAAAGCCCCAATCCTCATATCACATGGCCGGCTTGAGTTACAGCACCCAAGCACGTACCCAGGGAGAGTTTAAGATCATCGTTTCCAGTGGGTAAGTGCCCCCGCCCAGCTTCCAGCCACACTAGACGGGCCATGACCAGCGACTTTTAAATCCTGGGAACTGGGGCTGCTGGAGGTGAGTGCCAGCATACCAGCACGGGCCAGGGAGAGTTTAAGATCACCGCGCTCAGCAGTTAAGTGCCTGCCCCGCTTCCAGCCACACTAGACTAGGCTTAGGAGGTTTTGTGGCCCAACTAGACTATGCCCAGTGACCTTCTTCAATCAGGGGGGCTGAGGGCATGTGAAGTGAGTTCCAGCACATCAGTGCTTCCTTAGAGAGAGCTTTGCACCATCATCCACAGTGGTTAGGTTCCCACTCAGGAGGTCCTATGGGCCTGACTGGACCACGCTCAGCAACCTCCATTCAGTCCCAGGAGCTGAGGGTATAGGAGGCGATTTCCAGCACACCCAGGGAAAGCTTTGGAACATCACTGGAAACATGGAAATATAGGAAAATGACAAGATGAAAGACCAAAACACAATCTCAAACCTCCAACCCATCCCAAGAAAGCCTAGGAGCCATATACAAACAAGAAAATATATGCCATACATCTGAAATAATAGCAACTGAAATAAAGCAGCAATTCTGGGAAGCTGTAAAGGAATTCAAATTAGAAATAATCTCCCAGGTAAAAGAAGAAGTGATAAAAGAAATGAAAGAAATGCTGAACACATCTAAAGACACAGTTAAAAATTAGAAGAACAAAGCAAAAAGATAGAATCCCTGGATAAACAATGTAAAAAACAAACAATACATGAAGCAGATTCACAGAGATATACAGGAAATCAGAAATTCCACTGAAAGTTGTCAAAACCATTTCAACAAAAGTGAAGATAGAATTTCAGACCTCGAAGACAAGACTGCAGCTAGTGAACAGGAAAGGAAAGATCTTTTAAAAATAACAAGGAATCAGGAAATAACAATTCAACAGCTGCAAGATGATTCAAAGAAAAACAACAGAAGATTGATAGGGATAAATGAAAAAGGGGACAACAAAAATGATACCAAGAGGCTATTTGCAAGATGATTCAAAGAAAACATAAGATTGATAAGGATAAATGAAAAAGGAGGGGATAACACAAATGATATCAAGAGGCTATTTACAGAAGTAATAGTTGAAAATTTCCCAAACATGAGATCGTATAATAATCACCATCCCAGAAATCCAACATAACAATAGAATATTAAAAGCTGCCAGAGAGAAAAGATAGCTCACCTATAAAGGAAAACCTGTCAGAATCACAGTAGACTTCTCAACACAAACAATGAAGTCAAGAAGAGCATGAAGTATTTCAGATCCTAAAGGAAAACCACATAGCTGGTTTTTCCAGCATGGCCAGCCCCCTCCTGCAGCCATTTGGGGGCCAACCATCAGTCTCTCTATTAGCTTAAATTTAGGTAGAGTCTATTGTCCTACCATAAATGATAAAAATAATTCTGTCACTCAGGAAATACCAGGGATTCAGAAACTCTATCCTTAGCACCTAGGGCAAAAAAATATACAGATTTCTATAGAACTATGATACAACACAAGAGAAAAATGAAAATCTCATAACTGTTGTTTAGAGAGAACAATGATCACTTTTTAAATGTATAACAGATTTGTGTGTACTTTATGTCTGTCGGTAAAAATGAATAATATAAACCCTATTTAATAGCTAAATTTCTTCACTTACTGTTATGTGGAGAGATACATACGCTTTTTGCAAGTCTGGCGTTAATATTATCACTTAAGGTTGCATACATTGTATTATTGTATGGATGTGTGCTATTATTTTCTGTCCAGTGTTATTCCTACATCCTAATAACTGCAACTTTTAAGGACTGAATATTCATTAACATTAGAATTAGAAAACATTACAGTACTAAGTGTATAACAAATACCCCTAAGTTGTTAAATAACATTTTGTTGCAATATTCATAAAGTTAAAGTGAAACTTATCTGACTTTGAACATTTAAGTAAAATAAAAGCTATCTTGGTCACATTTTTTGTTATGTTTTTAAAATAAGCTACATAATAAGAGTTACAGAAAAGTGAAAAAGATCAAGATAAGACATTTTTGGATGTGGTTACACTTTTAAATAGAGCGTTCAGAGTAATCCTCATTGAGAGGTTAAGATTTGAAGAAAAGTCTGAAAGCTATAAATTATGTATACAGTGTAGGGACAGTATTGCAAATAAAGAACTAGAAACAGCAGAGGCAGAAGGAACACCAAGGAAGCTAGATGAGTCTGTTTTCTATTTCTGAGTAATAAACCAGCATACAACTTTCTGTCTCACAACAGTGCTTTATTTTATTTATTATTTGGGGGGCCCACAGACCTGATTTCCTTATCTGGGGCTGCGAGGCTTGGTCTCTGCTGAACTTGCCTGTCTGTCTCCAGCCGACACTAGTGGGATGATCTTGTAGTCTGCAGTGATGGCCGGCCTGTTTGGCAATTGGCACACTTTACCTGGACCACGATACCAGTCTTTTGCTTAACTGTGGCAAGGTCCCAAGAATAGTAAGAGAACAAACCCCTTTCATTCTTTAAGCCTCTGTTGAGTCATGTTTATTAGTACCCTGTGGCAAAGCAGGCCACCCAGACAACCAACTTCAAAAGATGAGGAAAGAAGTAATTTTCTTGATGGCAAGATTTTAAGCTTCAAATTGCAGAGGTATAAATGTACAGAGAAAGAGATTCATGGCTATATTTTCATTTTTTCCTACTCGCATTCCTGAAGCAGAGTGAGCAAGAAAGAGAGTAATAGAAGATGAGATCAGAGAGGTTATGCGGGGTGTCACACAGTATAGACTTTGTAGGGCATTGTGAAGATGTTAGGTGAAATGGACATAGGTTTTTAGCCAAAAATCAGCATATCTGCCTTCTGTTTTCACAAGAACATAGTTCTGACTGCCTCAATAAAAGTAGATGGTAAGGAGGCAAAGTAGAAGCAAGGAAACCAGTTAGGAGGCTATTGCAGTAACCCAGACACACTGACTCCACCCTGGTGGTAGCAGTGGCATGTGGTGAGAGGGGGCTGCATTCTTCTGTATGTGTTGCTTAGTGTTTTGCATGGTAGATGCAAGATTCCCTTATAAGTTGGATGGAGGCAACAGGGAGATATTATGGCATCAAAGATGATACCATTGCTTTTCCAGGAATAGCGGACCTTAACTTGGAGTTAGTTGTTGTCGCTGTAGAGTAAGGTGTTGGTATGAGCAGGAAATTGAAATCAGCCTAGATGTCTATCACGTAGGGAATGGTTAGACAAAACATGAAAATTACATCTGTGAAAACTGTATCATTTGTAAACATGTTGTAACATGTAAAGATAGTTATAGTAACATATATACATATAAAAGGTAATTTTATTTTAAACTATATGGATCTATAACATCAAACCATAGCAAGAGGTATCTTATCACATGCTGTATATACAAAGATTATATCACATTTTAACACATAGTTACAAAATGGAGGGGAGTAAGAGAGGAATTGTAAAACAAAAAATAAGTAAGAGCAGATAGTGAGTCATTGGATAGTGTAGTTAGTTCAGTTATTAAAGGTTCAGAAAAGAGTACATAGAAAATAATGTAATACTCATGGCATATGCAAAATAAGTCAGAATGCAGAGATCCTTGTAAGTAAACAAATAAGGAATTGGTTCATAAAGACCCACAATCAAGTGATGATAATGAAAATGGAAAATAAAAAGACATACAAAAATTCTGTATAGGAAAACTGGGCAGAATTTGGTGATACTAGGTAGGTTAAGAGTCAGAAGAAAAATCATGGGACTTTATTTCCTAGATGATGTCATAGTAACCCTCTAATTAACTTTCTGACTTTATAAAAGAAACCAAGCTGAACA